TAATATAGAACTATACGAAATGAGTGCGGGGCTGCTTCTCCACGTCATGGTTCACATTCGGATCCAATTCGGAGAGACCTGCCCAGAGCTTTTTTTTGAACTCCTGTCCTCAAAGATCAGAACTGGTGCCTTGCAAGGGAGGCCATAGCGACAAAAGAACCCTGCTCCTTCTTTAAGGCACAGGCTTCAGGGCTTCAGGGTGTGGGGTTTAGAGTTGAAGAGTTTGTCGATTAAGCTTTGAAGCTCGAAATTTGACCCTGCAAACCTCAGCCGCAGAACTCGAAACACCGAGTTTTGAGGACTTGCCCGGAACTACCACAAAGGCTTAGGATGCTTAGCGTCTAGAGCTTAGGATGCTAGTATCGGTAGGGTCCAGGATTTACTGTCGTAGATTGCAGGGTTTAGAAACGTCCCAGTGCAATCGCAACTCCCCCCAACCCTCTCAGTTCCTAAACTGCACCCCCGGCACACACCCCGTGCTGAAGAAGCCGTCATGCCCAAACCCCATGGAATCCTAAATCCCCAAACCCGAAAAAATAAACCAAGAAGTTCAAAAACGCAACCCACGTACTTGTGATAACCAGCGACCAAACCATGGACCCACGCGCCCCCCCCCCCAAAAAAAAAAAAAATATATAATAAAATAACACCGCTGAAAACCCTCGAAGCCTTCGCCCCTCCTCTCGAGGCCCCAGGGATCTGCCGCCATCCTTCGAACAAACGGGTTTAGGGTTTGGGGTTTAGGGTTTAGGGTTTAGGGCTTAGGGCTTAGGGCATTAGAGCCCTCGACCGCACATCTCAGGCGCCCACTGGGAGCTGTCATCCTCGCCGGCCTGCAGCTTGCAAATCCCGCTGCGAGTAGCTTTAGTGTTCGCGATTCGGGGTTTTGGGGTTAGGGTTTTCCTTAAGAACCCAAAACCTACTTTTTGTGGGGTCCCTATAATCCCATATTAGGGTTTATAATAAGAACCTACAAAAAAGTGGGTTCTGGGTTCTTAAGGTTGGGTTTTGGGCTTAGGGTTGAGGGATCTTGGGCTTAGCTCCGACACGAAACCACATGGTGGCATACTGCTTACAAGGGCCAAAGGCAGTGACAACTTGAACTGCCCAGAGACTCCAATACCCCTTAATTGAGGAATATACCTTAAATTATAGTAGGATCCCCTAATGAGATTTAAGGTATATTCCTTAATTATGGGGTATTGGAGTCTCTGGGTGCAGTCACCAGTCACCAGTTGTCATGACAGCAACCATGGCTTCCAAGCGACAAAACCGTTCAAATCCGGCGACTTTGCTTAGGATTCAAGCGCTGCCAAGAAGATCCGAAAGCTCTATATCAACACAAAGGAGCCCAGCCTCAGAAAACCCAAGACCCTGAATCCTAAACCCTGAACCCGGACCCCTAAACCGAAATAGGGGTTTCCGAAAATAGGGGACCCTAGTAGAGTACCCCAAATAGTAGGATCTTTATCATAAGGACCCCCAAAATAAGGTACCCCATATTTTCGGAAACTCCCAAATAGCTTCAAACGACTGCAACCCACAGTTCAAACTGACCCTGAAACGCCAAACCGAGGCACACAAGAACTCAATCATTGACTCCGAACTTTTGAGCCCTAAACGGCTGCCTTCGGGTTTTTTTGATCGATCCCCAATGTGGAAAAGACTCATGACCCTTAAACCCTCAAACCCCTTACAACCGAATGAATTGGACTTCAAACCCCTTGCAGCGGAACCCCTATACCCTTTAGCCAGCCATCGACACCAACATATCCCATTCAATCCATACGAAACGAGTTTGAAAAGCATGACAATGTGCATGCATATATATATATATATACATACTATGGTCAGAATACGAACCATGCCGCAGTGTTTTCGATCGACACTTCTCAGAAAAGCTAATGGTAAGAATCCTACTCTAGGTTCCTGAGTGACCCCGATATAATAAGGGTACCCTTTTTCCTATAGTTGGGTTTTTAATAAGGAGACCCCAAATTAAAAAAGGGCAAAAGCCCTAAACCCTAAACCCTAAACCCTAAACCCTAAGCCCTAAACCCTAAACCCTAAACCCTGAACCCTAAACCCTAAACCCTAAACCCTAAACCCTTACTCGGGAACCCAGTACTACCATCCGATGCATTCCGGAGACCGGCAGCCTCGCTACTACCGGCCCAGCCTTCCTCCGGGAGCTGCGGGGGGCTGAGCTTAGGGTTGTCTTGGTATTTTAAAGGGTTTAGGGTTTAGGG